CCTTGACTGTGTTCTTTGCATTTTATATGAAACTAATCAAATTCATACATAGCCCCTTGAGTTAGGCAAGTATTTCCATAGATGCAGCTGTAATTGAATTCAGCCATTGGCAGAAATGTAGAAACCATAATGCTGCCAAGAACTGACTTTTTTTTATGGTCCTGGAACTTTCAGCCTTTCACAAAAAGGAATGCACAAGAGCAGCATATAAAACTCTATGTAACTGATTCACATTTTACAGACTCCTAAAAATCAATTAGATTTTATTCAGCTAGATTATCAGGCTTCCCTCTATTCTTTATACCCTTATATTAGAAGTATAGCATGATTGTGTTCTATAGTACTTATTCAAGAGCAATTGATCTCCTTTAATGCCAGCACTATAGGTTTTTAGTTTAGAAGTAATTGCAGCACCTGAGACAAAGGTCAAATGCAAAATGAAACTAAAAACTATTTAAAAAACCTTGACTTGTGTTTAATTTACACATGGAAAATATTTCATACACGTAATGCTGAAGCAAGATAATGATCTATGGGATGAAGATGACAGGGAATTAACTGAAATAAAAAAATTCCAACAAGTGAGGTGGAGGAGGTGACGTGGCTGTCAGTAACACCAGTTATTTAGACTCAACCAGAGGAGTACATGCCTCGAATTCTGCAGGCCAAATAAAGGTCTTCTAAATGATATAGCTGGCTTCCAAATGGACCTGGCAAGTCAGACCTAATTTCGCTAGAACCACAATACTATGCATAGCAATTAGACTGGTCAAAAAATATGGGAGGGGTCAGTTACCTTTTGTTCAAACCCCTTCAGCTGTAGAGTTTGTTACATATTTGGGTAAAGGGGCTGTTGTTTTATTTAATTAACTGTTTATATGTACATAATTCCATGCATAAAAGAAGGTGGGAAGAGTCATGTGCATACAACACGTGTTTTAATACTAGGTCTTAGTCTCAAATACTGTTATTCCCCCCAAATTCTGTGTCAGTTCATATTTTTTAACCCTGAAGAGAGTGGACTGTATTGTGCCAGGGTGGGTCCAAGAGCCTTTTACTTGCTCTCATGTTTTGTCATTTGCAAAAGTATCAGTGGGGCCCCTCTCAATGACTTACTAAATATTGCTTCGCAGAAGATAGAGGAAGAAGACATAAACCTAACTATTCATTATTAAAGATCAGAAAATATGCTTTCTGTCCAGAACTCCCTCACGTCCCATATTCAGCACATAAATTACAAACTTTTAAACATACAATTTTAATGGTTGGAGTGTTTCATGTGGGCTTAGACCTATACAAACTTAAAAAATTGATGGAAGACAATGGAGGAAAAAGAGAGTGTTTGAGTGTAAGGGAAGTTAAGCTTTAAGGGACGAATACTCTTCTCAGTTTTGTTGGCAGAGGGACACTAAAGCTGGTGGAAATCCAGAAAAGGCGCAGAAGAGACCAGTGGATCTGTTACATGCTCCTGCTTCTGCCGAGCTTGTAATTTCTAATGTATATAGCATGAAGCTGAGTTGTTTTTGTCGTCTTCTTCATATTTCTGTAAAGCGTGGCTCACCATTGCCTTGCACCTTGTGTAGACACTCAGACCAGTGCAAAATGGGCCTAAGTTCCTACTCCAGCTGCAAGCCAATGAGGAATTAACCATTTAATGATGTAGAACCTTACACAGATCCACTGAATTTCACCTACATATTACATAGTGCAATTATTTTCCTTTATTATATTTTTCCGTACTCAAACAACAAACATATGCTTTCAGTCACAATGACTTATTTTAGATAAGAACACTGAAACAAGAAATACAGTTTCTTTGAGAGTGCATCCTGTGTGTGAGTGCATATCCTTTGAGGGCCTACACTGAACTGAACACAAAATGGCTGCTTCTCTCCAGGTTTCAGTGTCCTCAGAGATTTAAAGGCGCATTATGTAGGCAATAAATGGCATAACAGTTACATAGCAACCACCACCACCCTTTCATAGGAAGACAGTGAACAGGTTCACCAACAAAATCCGGAACTGATTATTTAAAACTCAGAAAGGCGACAAATACTAAATAAAGTGTTACAGGCTGAAACAATGAAACTGGCCCAAGTGAGATTATTAGATGGGCCAGTACATTCTCTGTGCTGAGGGAATGTCTAAAATCAGATTACAATATGAAGCTTTAAATTACAAGTCACATTGTAAGGAAGTACTGCAATTGACCACATGTTGTATATGTGGTTTGTCTCTTCCTTCTGAGTCTCTCCTTTGTTTACTTAAAGTGTCACCCCTACCTCACTTTCCCAGTTTCCTTGGCAAGATCCTCAGACCAAAGAAAACTGAGGGCTACTTTTGTGGCAAATTGTAGAGGGTAGTGTGCCCCATATACTCAACCATCCTGAGCCAAAGCAGACTCTCATTTCAAAGCAGTTAGAATGTTTCTCCCAGGGACAGCCTTATTATAAAGGGAGAACAGCCCTGCACAAACACCTGTAAAACAGATTAGACTTTTCTTGGGGCAAAGAAGGACTGTTGAGTGAGGAGGGAGGATGTGGAGGAGGAGAGAAGACCTTAACTACAATTTCCCTCCACTGTTGAATTCAGTCAACTTGCCTCTCATGATTTCTGCTTAAGTTTTTGTTGTTTTAGGCCTGTAACAGGAAAGACTTTTTTTTGTTTCCTCCTTCCCAGACAGCAGGACTTGGCACTCAATCAAAGCACAAGGGCCCACCCAATCAGCCTGCTGGGACTTTTCCCAACTAAAATATATATCTTTGCTGCAAGTGTCTCATCATTTGCAAGTGAGTACAAGTCGGAAAAAGAAAAGCAAGAACTGAATTTATCCAGAGTTTCCTTTTGCACCTTTTCATTAAATTGAACCTGTGTGAACTCTGCTTCCTCAAATATTTTCATTGCATACTGTAAAGGGGCTTGCTTAGCATCTGTGAAAATATTTACTGGCAGTGGAGACATGAGTTTATTCTTTTTATTAAAATAATCATTATGCCCCATATGTCCCCCTGCGTAAAAACGTGGGGAGGGGAAACTAACACAAAAACCTGAGCTGCGGTATCAGTTTTCCCCTAGTCTGAGGAGAAGGGAGCTGCTGGGCTTAGGAATCAAGGACAGCAGAAACCAGAGATCTGCCGATAGGAAAGAGCCTCACTTTTGCAGATCCTCTGCCAGCTATAAAGACTCTTCCTTGCATTTCCTCCTAATGTGTCCTGTCACCAGCAGCCACGGTAGCTCATATGGGCCAGTCGCCATGCTGCCACCGGATGCTGGCGCACCTTTGGGCTCTTTGACATCTTTGTGCATGGATCACAGACCATGCACCCGAATTAATGCTGCTTCATGCTGCATTAGCATTCATGGCATTTTTTTCCACAGTCCTTGGAAGAGGGTGGAGATACATACTGTACTGCTAATGCAGCTCCTCCCCCTGTTCAGGCCCCTTTGTTCTGTATCGCCCACTGACTGCGTGGATTTTGTATGGAGGAGTGCCAGGGTGACACGCAACGGGTAGGGGAAAGACCATCCCACGTAACTGCTTTTGTCTCCCTTTATAAATCTATTTTCGCTTCTTCTGTGATTTTGCACCATGTCCATCACACAGCTGAGGGTGGAGGAGGGAGAGGGACTTCAGATACAAAAAACAAGATCCCAGTAAAAACGTATCACAGTAGTGCTGTAGCAACTCCCCCACCATTCAGACTCAAATGGTTTTGACTTGATTTGACTGGCTAGTCTCCATGCTGTTTCAAATGTGGTCTGGCCCCATCCCCACAAACCACCCTCTTCAGGAAACACAGATCATGGCCCAGTGTGGATGGATTCTGTTGATTAGTGGTTGCAGGCTAGGAAGGAGTAAATCAGTTCATCCAGCATAAGAAATAGCCTGAATTTCAGCCCAATCAGAACCACTCTTAAACCTTTGTAAGAGTTGTTTAACTCGTGGGGGGTTTGCTATACAGCATTTTTAGCTGCTAATGCTGGCGCACTCAGATGAGGCGTATAGTCAAAATATGCACAAGTTGCATGCCCTAGTGAGCAATGCATGCAATACTTCTGCAATACAGGAAGCTCAGCATGCACACAGTTTGTATTTGGAGATAACGGATGTCTTGGAGGGGGGACTACGGAGCCTTGAATGTACTGGGGGAGGGAAGTGCCAAAAGCCTCTTGATGTGGTGTGGAAGCACTGCTGAGGGCTTGTCAGACTGGGAGCCATTAGTTTCAGGGTATTCATTATGAGGCATAGAATGATGGGGGTGGGGAGTTATGGGATTGACAAAAAGGGAGAGCAGTAGGATGGCGAGGAACTGCTAGGAGAGTTAAAGTGCCATGGGTTGCAAGAAGCTTTTTGGTGAGACTCTGGGAATGTCACCAGAAGCCAAAGAAAGACTATTGGGTAACTGTGGTGGGTTTTAGGAACCTGTGAGAAGGGGCACAATCATGCAGAAGGCGGGGAAAGACACTTCAGAAGGTTCAGATAAGTTATGATGAGTTTTCTCTGTCCCTGTGTGATTCTCCTGCCGTTGTGAACAGCAGAACACTCAAGCTAGGGTCTCTTTAGTAAAATTCTGCAGAAACCATGGGGCCAGGTTGTTCAATCCCATGTAAAAACTTGTGGAGGCAGCAAAGCCAGGGAGAGGAATGTGTCGGCGCTCCCTGAATGGAGTTCTTTCCAGGTTGTTCTGTTGGGGACTCATTTTGACCTTTAAATGGAATCAAGGTCAGACCCCAAAGCCAGTAGAGCTAATAGGAATTGCTGGAGGCTCAGGCCTATATCTCAAGGCTCCCTGTCGCCTTGTAAGCACAGTGGAGCCATACTGGTATGGCTTCCCTGCTGGCTACCATCCCTTGAGCCAGTCCTTCAAGGCATGGAGTGGGCTGTGCTCGAAAGTGCATACTAGCCTGGGCTGTATTACTTTCTAAGAGGATTCCCTATTGGGCTAGAGTATGTTATGGGTCTTCCCTGCCCTGTCTGGGGCCCCAGCTCATTCCTCTCCCCATTAGCAACTCCTGGACGCTGCAGAGAGCTCTCCACAGGGTCTGGGGGGAATATTTCTATGGAGGTAGCTGATCCCCTTTCCACATAGAAGGGAGTCAATGTACAAAAGGTGGGTTTGTTGCATGCACATTTCCTCACAGGGCAATCTAGCCCAATGTGGTTAAGAGGGGCCATGAAGAGAGTCACTGGGCAATTGGTTTACACTGGCTATAATGCAGGAATAAATGCAAGAGAAAAGCGAGTAATAGAGATAACAGATGGGAAAATTGTGAAGGAGTCGGGGAGGGAGGGAAGGGAAGGGAAAGCATTGGAAGAATGCTGAGGCCAGTATTGGGAGAGATCAGCTGCACTACAGCGCAGTTCATGACGAGTCAGATTATCTTCATGTGATTCTTTGCTCCTTTCTCTGACTGTAGAACACTTTTAAGGGCTTACACAGCATTTAGTTAATGGACCAGGCTTAATCAGTGGTGTGATAACATTTAACTTTCTGCACTTGAATTAGAAAGCAAGGATTGAGCTTTCCTGAACTGCAAATGAAATGGAAGTTATTGAATGGAGAGAGAGAGAGAGAGAGATGGGTCTGGATTTCTTTTCGGATGAGCCTCCAGGGCTCTTTGCCAGGGTTATATAGGTCACAAAATCAGTACAAAATGTTATACCTTGGTGGCCTTTGTAAACCCAAAAGCACTTAATTTTTTAAAATTTGATTTTGCTTCTAGACCAGTCTGAAAGAGCAGATATTTTCTGAAGTTCTTGGCTTCTTTCTTGCTTTCAAAATCATTTCCCTTGTTTTAAAGTTTTCATTTACTTTGATTACATTTTCTCTAGGCTTCTGAACAGGGCTGTGTTTTCTCTCACCTGAGTTACTGTCTAGTTTCCAGCCCACAGTTTCAGTCATTACCTGGAGAAAGCTCCCATTGACCTCAGCAGGCATTTTGTTTGCAAGGACTGGGAACCTTCTCAGTGCGTGTGAATGAATAAATTAGACAAAAATACAACGAGGTTTAGGAATGGGTGAACTGGTTCAGATTTTGTAGACATCCATCTAGTTGATTGAAAATGGAGCTGACAGAGACCTGGGCCCTATTATTGACATTAGAAAACTTGTATTATTGACTAGTCCCAAAATGTCCATTAATTTTTGATGTCCAAAACTTGACGCCAAATCACTGAGGGACCCAATAGTAGCAAATAGCTGAAAATTTAGGCCTTTAATTTTCCTATTTTATAGATGGAGGTAACTAAGGCACAGAAAAGTTATGTACCTTCATAAAGCACTTTGAGATCTTTGAAAGAAAATGCTCTATAATGTGCAAAGAATCATTATTGAAATAAGGAGTGACCTGAACCTTTGCCCAAAATTCAGAGAGAATATTTCTGGATTCACAGTGTTTAACAGCTCTTAGCTCAGCGAACGGGAGTTGACTGCTGTCTTAAAGGAACAGCACCTCAGCAGTATAACACAAAAGGATAGTATGAAACATCTAACACAATACTACTGGCTTCAATATCTCGGTGTGGGCTGATGGAGTCTTATAATTTGGGGCTGAGCCATAAGATATTGGACTACACATTCTTTACAGCAGTGCAAAATATCAGTCAATCATTACGTTATGTTTTTCTGAACTTTTTTGTTATGATTTAATTTCCAATCCTTTTAAACTTTATTTATTATTACCCCCTACATTCACAGCAGTTGATATGACAACCTTAGTGGTTCTTTTCATCATTATGGTCACTTGTATTGTAAATGTTATCCAAATATGCATTCAGATATTATTTACCTCTTAGACCATTGGAGTGGTTACATTCTTTCAGTTCAATGTCTCCTGTGTATTGTTTCTAACTTGACTAACTCAGTAATGGAGATTGTTCAATAAACTCTGATCTCACGGTGCGTCCAACAATCCAGCACCAACATGGGAGGGCTGGGTTGGAGAAATCACTCTGACTGGGCCTCTGAATCAGATTCAACGTCCATCATACCCTGAACATCAGCTGTACTCTCCTCAGGGTCAGGGTGGCGGTCCCCTGGTTAGGAGTTCTCTCCAAAGCATCAGGAGTCACTCCTGCAGTGTACTGCTTAGAGCAATCCTGCTCCTCCCCTGGCCCTGCTGTCTGCAGCTTCCTCCCTTTCAAAGGCCGCCTCCCTATCACACAAGATATACAGGGCTGGAGGGGCAGGGCTAGCCCTACTACCAGGGCCTCTCTGGCACCTTGCTTGTCCATGTGGGATTTATACACCCCATCACAGCCCCCCACCTGATGGGGTTGCCAGCATGCTGTGGTACACCAGATCCTTTCAGATGTGTGGTGGCACCATGTAAACCGGGGTAGTCAGTTATTTTTGTCCAGGTCCAAATTTCTTAGTCAAGGTGTAGTCATGGTCCAGATTCCAGAGAAGAACATTTAAAAATAATAGTGATGATAGTAAGTAAATAAAAAGATTTTGGGGTCTGTTCAAAAGCATCTGGCAGTCCGGATTTGGCCCATGGTCCACCTGTTGACTACCCCTGATGTATACTGTGACTCAGACAAGCAATACAGGTGCTTCAGCCACTGGGTCCTGCAGTGCTAGGTGGGTTTCCATTAACACTCACATGTACAGCTCCAAACAGATTATTTACTAGGGCTGGCAAAAAGGGAAGGCTGAGAACACTGTAGGCACAATAACTGGAACAGCTACAACAAAAGATCAACACAACAGTTCCTAACTGAGCTCAGAGAGACTGTCCGAGGGAATTGTACCAGGGTATCGTGACCCATTTAATTCCTGAGGCCTAGCACCTGGGGTAGCCCTCTAGTCCACCTTTCTGTGAAAACAGCAGTTAAGGGCTGGTCCATTAGTTGTTCAGTCCCATAGCCTGTGTGTCACTAAGGCCCGATTATTTATCTGATAGACCCTTAAAACAGTTACATTCTTCCATGTGAATACGCTCTGATACAACTTGTGATATTAGATTTACTCAGCAGAACATTAAAAGCTATTTAAAGGCAAATCTGGAGTCCCAACTCGCCAATGGAACCCAGAGGGTGTTACTCAAAATATTTGGCTTTCTAACATACTGGCTATAGGTTAGAGATGTTTTGTGCGTGCAAATGCACGCAAGGAAGGCACACAGAGAGAACTGAGCAGCTCTGAATGTCAAGCCCATTCTGAGCAGCTACAGCTCCCAGTGTGGATGCTAAATAACTCTAAAGATAAAGCTCTACAGGCAAAGATTATACTTGAACATAGTCTAGCAATTTATATAAAGTAAAACAATTCAATGAATATTCATAAGCACTATTAATAGGCACACGAGCTTTGTAAGTCACCTCTGACAGAGCCCACCTGTACTGTAGCATATGTATGTGTCTTACCACTCAGCAAACTGCAGGGCTTATATGCAGTGAGTATAGCCTCAGGGCATAAAAATGTGCATGTGTATATACCATATCTACTAAGTATCAGCCATTTGATAACACCAGGATTGCCAGCTCTTGTGATTTTATTGTAACTCCAGTGATTTGGGGGTGTTTTTTCACCTGTGTCAAGAAAACACGATGAAAGGTTGCCAACTCACACACATTTCCCTTATGCAAAATGACCACTATCTGCTCTCACTGACAATGGGACTGATGCCTGCAAGATGGCCCCCATTACCCCACAGTCTACCTCCATGTGGGAGTGAGCCTGCCCTTAGAAAATTTGGTTCCCACCGCTCACTGTTTTCAAAGAGACTGAAGCCATGCCCACAGGCAAAATGGCTGCCACTCCATGGTTCAGGGGGTTAGACAGGGCACGCAACTGTGATGAGCAACAGAGACACTGAACAGTGGATGAGACGAATGGAATGCAGGGCACTGGGGGAACAGGAGGCAGCTGTAGGGGCTACACAGAAATACAGAAGGAAGGCTGAGGATAGGGTTGCCAACACTGTACCATCAAGGCTGCATGGATGAAGCAGGGTTTCCCTGGCAGTTCATCCTCCTGGCCCCTACTTGCTGCTATAATAGTGGATGTTAAGTAGGTAATTTATCAGCTGTCTCTCCTCAGCTTCCCACTGCCCACTTCAGGGGCCAAGCATACTGAGCTGGCATTAAAGTCCAAAAGTACCTTTGCAGGAGGTGGTTGGTACGTTTCAAGATTGAGTTCTTTGAATTTATCTTCTTTTTTTTTAAATTTAGGGAGTTAATATCCTGCAGAAGTTTCCTGGATTTATCGGGCATAGTTTTCTTTGAACCCTCGGAGTTGCATAGCACTCATCCACGTTGACTAAAAGAAAAAAAACCACACACATGCATGCGCACACATCTGGAGCCAGATCTGCTGGCCAATGTACAATTTACATCCCTTTTAAGGAAAGGGAATGCTGGCAAGTTTCATGATGCGTGGAAGCTGGTTTCATTTTTCTATTTTTGCATAGGAGGGGGGTGCAGGGAGGGAGGGAAGGAGGAAGGGAGGGACAGACTGTGTGGAATGAATCACTCAGCTACAAGGCAAAGGCATTAGCACCGTTCTGTGAAGAAAACTTTCAGCTCACACCCTATCTCATGCAAGTTATGGGTTGACTTGCTTTTATAGGTGGATTCTCTTATGGACAGTGTGAACTGATTCTTTCTGTGATTTATCACCACTGAAAGAATGCTTTTGGTTCCTCAATAGACAGCCATCAGCTTTTAGCTCCTCCCATCCCACTTCTTTTGGTGGTGTCCCAATTAGCTTTGACAGGCCATAGTTCTGGCCTTACCAGTCAAGCTCCTCATGCCAAAAAAATGCAATAAGGGTTGAATTATGATACGCTTCTTTTTATATTTAAAGTGGAAGTGACATGAACATGAAAACTTTCAGTTAGCTGATGACTTTGAAATTATGTAAAAGGGATCTGAAAGGCTATTAGACTATTATTTTGAAAAATAAATACCTACTTTTTATTCTCCGTATTGTAAGAACCTGATGAGATCCTACAAACTGCTTGATTGAGGCTTGAGTTTGACCGCAAACTGCCTCCACAAATGAGCCTGATCCCACAAAAATGGGACTGACCTTTATTTACATATTAAATTGGTCTCAATGAATTATTTCATGAATTCCATACATTCATCTTTAAAAATGAGATGAAC